CACACACACACACACACACACACAAACACACACACTCAAAAATAAAAATAATTTTTTTAAAAAATGGAATTGAACAGAAAAGCACTGAACACATAATAAACTACAATTTGTATACTGCGAAATATACAAGGTGAAATAAAAAGTGATAACATGAAAGATAAAAGTTCAATTTCTTCGTAAAAACTTTAAAACACAAATGACAAAACCAGAAAAAGGAAACATGCGTAGATCTAATAAAATCCTTGTATAAGAAAATACAGAACTCTCTCTCTCTCTCTCTCTCTCTCTCTCTCTCTCTCTCTCTCTCTCTCTCTCTGTGTGTGTGTGTGTGTTGTTTTTTATCCGACACACTGAAGGAAACATCTTACTACTTCTAAATGATAAAAACATAGAACATAAAACTGCCTTTTCCAGTTTCATTTCCAGAATTGAGTTGCAGAAAATATTCAATTTTCTCTTAGCTAATATTAATCTTTTCCTGTTCACCAAAATGATAAAAGTACCACCTTAAAAACTGGAGTATAAGCAGTTAACCCACAATTAAAGTGCCAAGAATGAAGTGTTCAGCCACAAATGATCATAGCCTCTGTCCACAAAAGGCTGAGGAACATAACGGAAGAGGGGGCAGAAAGACTTTAAGAGACTTTAAGAAAGACTGGCTCTTAAAGGAATAGGGCAAAACATTGTGTTCTGGACATGACTAGACTGCCGCACTCATGAATTTATCATTGCAGTTGTGGTTGCTGCACAAGATATGCACACAATCAAGCAAGTCAACCTTCCATCATAGTGTGATGAGGGGCTCCTGAGCCCCCAACCCTAGCTAAGGAGCTTATTGTCAATTAATGGCTTCTAAAGAGGGAAGAGTTAGGCTCTTTTTAAAAGGCAAGGCTCCTGATAAGCTGACCATGCTCTAGCGTAATGGTTCTCAACCCTTGGGGGTTATTTACATTGCAATTCATAATAGTAGCAAAATTACAGTTATGAAGTAGCAACAGAAATATTTTTATGGCTTGGGGGCCTCCACAATATAAGCAATGGTACTAAAGAGGTGCAGCATTTGGAAGGTTGAGAACCATCACTCCAGTGGATGACTCCATACCCATGGGTATATAGGTAGTATGAGTAGGATTTATGAGTTTAAAAAAGAGAGGAGAGGAGACAGGGAGTTAGGAGGGGTGGGGAGTGGGCATGAATTTGGAAGGAGTTAGGGAAAAGAGATTGGGGTGAATATGATCAAAATACTTTGTATGCATATATGAAATTCTCAAGGAATGAAAAATATTTTTTCAAAGCATTGGAGCCTGTAATGAAGTTGGAACTGAGATATTCTGTAACTTCTGAGTCCTTTCACTTAGCTACTTCTGACTTCCACAGAAAACAATTTCATTTCTCATATTGTTTTTTGACCTCCAATCTTGGGTCTGTTAGGCTTTACTTGCCACTGGAAAGGATGGTGAAAGAAAAGATTAATTTGATACTTCCTTTACTGGCACTGTCCTTATCTTAAAGATAATACCTTTTGTTGCTCAGTGTCCTTAGGAGGCTGTTCTTCAACGTATCCCATTTGTCTTGTAACAAAGGCACTTACTATAACATGTGGACGTTTGGAGTATGTTTTCTCCACTCGAAGTAGGTGCCAAATTGAGAGACTAGGAAACTCCTTTGAAACAGGTCAGGTCTAGTCACCATTCAAATTCATTAAGTGAATGTCTCACTTGTGGTAGTCAGTAACTGAGGGCTCTACGCTGCCTGCTGCCTACTTCACCTGGGTCCTAATCTTCACAGCAAATAAGCAAGTTTGGCAAGCTTGGGACCCTGGCTCAAACCGTCCTTGCTCAGTATGATCCAACCGAGTGTGTTCCTCCCAGAGTCCCAGCAGCTCATCTAGTGGGCACACCCTACATTAACGAGGTG